TTTAAAATCTCAAGATATTGTTTAGCATCCATCGTATTTTCGATAAATACTAAATCACCCAATCCTTTTCTTGAGATGCACCCCCACACCATGACGGACAGCTTGCCGAATTTTACTGTCGGTATAATGTTTTTGTTTTGTAGGGCACACAACGGTTTTCTCCACACTCGGTTGGGTCCTTCGTTATAATGTAACAGTATTTTCGACTCGTCACAGAAAATCACGTCGTTCCAATAGCTTGGGGGCTCATCCAAAAGAGTTTGAGCGAATGAAAGACGCTTCTGAACATTTTGTTTTGATAGCAGGGGTTTTTTTTCTAGCTACTCGGGATGTGAAGTTATGGCTCCTAATTGTCCTGCGAATAGTCTCATGCGAATCATCCACTCCACATACTTCCCTTACCTCCACAGCCAGTTTTCTTGTTGAGATCATGGGGTTCTGGTCTACTTTTTTCATTATAATCCGAATAACTCTGTTTGAGAGCTTACCCGGCCGACCATTTACAGGCTTTTTTTCGAGCCTATTCTCATTTTTTGCCCGACTTATTATGTTTTGGACAGTTCTTGTATTTATTTTAAACATATTTGCAATTTCTGCAGTCCTTTTCCTAATGGTATGGTTGTAATACACCAATTGGGTCACATCAAAAGAAACTCTTTTGCCGGGCATTGTAAAACACTTATTTATACGACTATTAACGAAGAACTGATATTGAAATGCTCAAAATGCATATGGGTGAGATTCCATATCAGATTTACAGTCGATATCGGGAAATTCGATGAGATATTTTTTTTCATGCTCTTTATCGAAAATAAATCGACACGTATTTTTTTATTTGGCTCAGAAATTTTTTTTGACAAAGTTATGATTTTTTGAATTTTTGATGAACTGCCCTTTTACCGTACGTCGCAGAAAAAAAATGAATAGGAAGTAAAAATTTCATCCTTCCTTCTTCTTTGCAAAACTTTCGTGAAAAATTTTTTAAACAATTTTTCACCACAAAAAGTTCAAATGTTTATAACAAATTCATTTTTCTCCAACTTGGACATTTTTGATTTTTTTTTTTTCACAATAAATCCTTCAAATTCTTCTGATGAACATACTAAAATTTCAGAATGGTATCAAAATTAGTTTTTGAGTTATAGAATTAAACAGCATAACAAATTCATTTCATTGACCCTTACTATGCGCGCGCGAAGCGAATTGACGCTCGTTAGAGTCGTTGGTCGGCGCACGCCCTGAGACCGAGCGCGCGGACCGTGCATGATGATCTTGAATATTTTTTTTTTTTTTTTTTTTTTTCCTTGTTACTCCTCTTGGGAGCTTAGGGCTTCTACAAGCGATCTCCATCGGACTCTGTTCGGCGCGGTCTGTTTTATGGAGTCCCAGGAGGTGTTTATCCGGGACATGTCCTGTAGTGTTGTCCGGCGCCAGGTCAGCTTGGGGCGTCCCACTCTCCTACTTCCCTGTGGGTTCCAATCTAGCGCTGTCCTAGCGATGCTGTCGTGGTTTTTCCTTAGAGCGTGGCCAATCCAGTTCCATTTTTTCTTCCTTATTTGTTGGTGGATGGGGACCTCTCCTGTGTCATGCCACAGATCATTGTTGTTTATTCTGGCAGGCCAGAATATGCCGCATATAATTCTGAGGCATTTGTTGACGAATGCTTGTAGTTTCATCAACATTCGTTGGGAGGTCAGCCACGTTTCTGACCCGTACAACAGTACTGATTTGACACACGCATTGAAGATTCGCAGTTTTGATCTTCTATTTAACTGCGTGTTTCTCCAGATGCTGTGCAATCTTCCAAATGCCGATCTAGCTTTGCTTAGTCGGTTCTCCATATCTTGCTCGGCTCCTCCATTCCCTGTTATTAGGGTGCCAAGGTAGACAAAGCTATCGACGAAGTCAACGCTTTTGCCGCTAATGGTGATGTTGCCTTGATTGGCGTCGTTGACTCGCATTGCTTTTGTTTTGGCGGCATTGATGTTAAGACCCACTGATTTTGCTCGACTTTCGAGGTCATCTGCTTTGGCTTGGATATCCGTGAGTCTATGAGACAAGAGGCAAATGTCGTCTGCGTAGTCCAGGTCTTCCAGGTGTCGGGTGAAGCTCCATATGATCCCGCGTCTGGACTTGCTCACTTCTCTCATGATTTCATCTATTACCAGGTTGAACAGGAGCGGCGATAGGGGGCAACCTTGCTTGACGCCAATGTTTGTGTGGAAGGGTGCACTAATTTTTCCGTTGTGCAGTACCGCCAAGTCCGCATCATCGTACATAGCTTTCACTATGTTTATGATGTTTGTTGGCACTCCCTTCCTTGCAAGTGCCCGCCATATCGCCACTCTGTCTACTGAGTCGAAGGCCTTCTGGAAGTCGATGAACAGGAGGTACAGCGGCGAACGCCATTCCACAGCTTGTTCGGTTATTACGCGTAGGGTGTTGGCTTGGTCTACGCAGCTCCTGTGTGGTCTAAATCCTCCTTGTTCATCCCGAAGTGTTGGCTCAATCTTGTCCATCAGGCGCTCGTTCAGCAGGGTAGCTAAGATCTTATAACTTGTGTTCAGTAAGGTAATTCCTCGCCAATTGTTGCAGTCACTGAGGTCTCCTTTCTTAGGTAATTTGATAATGATCCCTTTTTTCCAGGCTTTAGGAACTCGCTCGTTATCCCATATTGCTTCGAAGTGCGGATGCAGTGTTTCGGCTATTAGTTGAGAGTCAGTCTGGAGAAGTTCGGCGGGTATACCGTCATCTCCGGCTGCTTTGTTGCTCTTCAATTTCCTGATCGCATCTCGTATTTCTCTCACAGTGGAAGGCGTGGGCGAGATCCTGGTGTTGGTGGTGTTGGGCTCGATACTTCTGGGTTCTTCCTCATGTGGGCTGCTTGGGTGTTCAGTGTAGCTAATTTCCATGAAGTGTCGTCGCCATCTCTGGATTTGGGCATCGTCGTCCGTGAGAAGTGCACCGTCGGAATCTCGCACTGGCTGGGTTTGCCTTATTTGGTGACATCCGGATAATTTCCCAATAATTTGATACAGCAAGCGCATGTTGTTGGCATTGGCTGCACTTTCCGCACTATCTGCGAGTCTGTTCAATAGGGCTCTCTTGTCGTTTCTGGCTGATTTCTTCACCATCCTGCATAGCTCGCTGTGTTCCGCGCGTGCTCTACAGTCGTGGTCAGCTCTTTGCTTGAGGTTATTCCGTCTGTTGATAAGGTTCCATGTCTCAGTTGATATCCAGTCGATGCGCCTTGGTTGCCTGGTGCCGAGCAACTCCTCAGCGGTGTTCCTCAGTGATCTGCATGTTTGTTCCCATGGGTGCGTTGGTTGTAGTGGCATCAGTTGTTCTCGTAGCGTTGTTGCCATTCTGGCGGATAGGGTGGGGTCGCCAAGACGATGTACGTTTAGTGGTGGTGGTCTGTTTGTGGTTCTATTGACAGTGCGTTTTCGTCTGAGCTTGATTGAGAGCTCTCCGACTACTAATTCGTGGTCACTGTCAATTGACGCGCCTCTCTTGTTGCGTACATCCTTCATCGAGCTCCTCCATTTTTTTGCTTATGCAGATATGGTCTATCTGGTTTCTTGTGAGACCATTTGGGGACGTCCATGTGTATTTATGTACCTCCTTATGTGGGAACACATATAACTCAAAAACTAATTTTGATCCCATTATATCAGAAGAAATTGAAGGATTTATTGTGAAAAAAAAAAATCAAAAATGTCCAAGTTGGAGAAAAATGAATTTGTTATAAACATTTGAACTTTTTGTGGTGAAAAATTGTTTAAAAAATTTTTTCACGAAAGTTTTGCAAAGAAGAAGGAAGGATGAAATTTTTACTTCCTATTCATTTTTTTCTGCGACGTACGGTTTTCGAGTTATTGGGGCTGGAAAACGCGACTGTCATCAAAAAAAGGGCAGTTCATCAAAAATTCAAAAAATCATAACTTTGTCAAAAAAATTTTCTGAGCCAAATAAAAAAATACGTGTCGATTTATTTTCGATAAAGAGCATGAAAAAAATATCTCATCGAATTTCCCGACATCGACTGTAAATCTGATATGGAATCACCCATATTTATATCATCTAGTTTAGGGTCGACTAGCATATTTTAGCATATTCTAGAAAAAAATTCGAGAAAACACCAGAAATGTAAAAACGAAAACACTTATTTGACAGTGGAAAATATGTTGACTTTTTTGTTTTTGTTATATCTTTTTTGTTAGTTGGAAAATTTATGTTTTGTTTTTTGTGTATTCTTAAGAAATACATGAATAATCAGGCAGGCTCCGGTTTTCACTTTCACAAGATTCTCTCGTTTTCGTTTTCAAAAACGAAAATTGGTGCTCCCGTTTTCACTTTCACAAGATTTTTTCGTTTTCAAAAACGGGCAAGTTTTTTTTTGTCGAAATGAAAAGTAAATGCCTTTTTCTACATCAAAACGGTTCTTAATTGCAAAAGGAAAAAAATAGATGACTCCTTGGTCTATTGATGTTCATTTCACATCATCAGTAGGTCAATCTAATTCGTATTTATTTTTTAAATAATTTTTTTCTGACCCCACCTTGATTTCATACATAAAATATTTGCCGTCGGCAACAACAAATTTCGTTTTGCTAAGGGGCCGATAAATCTATTGCCAAAAGCTATCGTCAATGCTGCCGTACTTGTAGTGGAACGAAACACCCACTTAAAAATACTTTTAAAATGAAAACGAAGAAAAAAATATTTGTAAAGAAAAGTTAAATAAGCTTTTTATAAATAAATATGATTAAATTTGTTTCTTAAATGGTGAAAGTGCAGTAAAAAAGTGGTTGAGAATAGTGGAATGAAAGCTGCAAAAAAGGTGGCAGTCCCTTATTGTGGGAAACAGCTGATTTCTGATGGAGGCTTATTTGAACTTTTAAAAATGTAAGTAAGACAACTTAATTTTTCTATTTAAAACTAAATGCAAAGCTATTGTTTTCAGGGGGAAGCATAAGTCAACGATCCAGGATGAAATCATGCTGGATTTCATGAGAGGCAAGCCAGATTTTGCCCGAGGGTTTGTGAAAGGAGATCGAGTGGCTGCAGAGGCGAAGTGGGCGGATCTAACAGGCGCGTTGAACGCTGTTGGGCCTCCCATTAAAGACGCTGCAGGGTGGAAGAAGGTATGACTATTAATTAATATATTAAAGAAAGCTAATATATCAAAGAAAAATATTCCAGGTTTGGTGCGACTGGAAGGCCAACATACGCAAAAAATTGGCAAAAAACAAGGCTGAGGCCAGAGCCACTGGCGGTGGTCCTTACTCTCAGCAAGCAATAACGGACGTGGAGGAGGAGGTGGCCAAGATCTGCGGCCTATATGAAATGGTGGAGGGCGTTGCTGGGGCAACCTAAGGAGTTTCGCCTACCGTGAAGCCAGATTCGGGAGTGGAGGAGGAAGAAACCCCAAATCGGGACACGGTAGTCGAGGAGCCAAAGGAGCCAAGCCGAAAGCGCCGGCGCTCAACTGAACCCGACCTCCAAAACCTTTGCGCAGCACAGCTTGAAATAATGTCGCAGATGAACAATTCTATGTCTGAGCATTTCAAAAGGATGGAGGCTTTACAACGCGAAGATTTGGAGTTAAAGAGAGAACTCCTCTCAAAATTTAATGAAATAATCAAAAAAACTAGGAGAATAAACATATTTAGTAAATGTCAAGATGTTTTATTTATATAAACTTGCAGGGTTTTATAATTTTATCCGCCTGTGCGTTGCTCGTCCGTCAGTTTCTACTATTATTATACTGGAAGAGACAGAGCAATTTCATCGCGTTCTGATGCTCCGGCATTATTTCCCTCTGCACAGTGGTCGGTCCCATAGGCCAAAAATCAAAAAATCAATTTTGGAATTTTGATTTCAAAGTTGGCTCATCTGTTTATCAATAGAACAAGGCTTTAAAAGCAGTTATTAGTTTTGTTTTGCTCCACACATTCGCAGAGAAATTGGCGCGCAAAGTGAGCGCACAAACGCAGCGATCAACTGAAAGCGTGCGCATGTCTTCTGAAAACGTTAAGTTAATAAATAAAAAAAAATATAAAACAATCGTTTAATATCCGAAAGTGAAATGAATATTTAAGTTGAAGGTTTGTAGATTGTGTTTTTCTAATTTTTATTCATTTTGCATGCTATATGTGACTGTGACAATAATTGTTTATCCACCTCAATTTTACAAGTTCTGCAGAACTAAACATCAATATTCTGCAAAGGTAAAAGTTGTGTTCCCAAAACTTCTCAATAATGATATTTTTTTAAAAATGTTAATCAATATTTAATTAGTATTTTCTGTGAAAAGCATCTGCGAATAGCTGCGAATCCGTTCAGAATCTGTTAAAGAAGACGAATACCTCGTTCCTTTTTCATCAGTTTTTGGTTTTCTAAAGTAACCATTTCTAATATATATTGAAAAATTTATTTTTTATTACTTTTATTTTACTTTAAATTTATGTTAATCATCGTTTTTTGTTATCTTTTGTTAATTTTTTAACCAAAATTAAGTGTTTAATAAATATAATTTTTGTCAGTTACGCTTAAAAAAAAGTGTAGTATGCATTTGGGAGTCAAATTTTGAACATTTTATGGTAAACACGATGGTAGCGGATATATTTGGCTTTAATGGTGCTGATACTTAAAATATAACATTCATATTCATATATATACTTACAAAAAAAATTTCAACTCGATATTCCTACTGGAAGTATTTTTGGCCGCCTTCTCCATACAAGACCGACCACTGTGCTCTGGTTCATTTTCGTCTAAAGCCTCTTCTGTATCGTCAAAATGAAAGTCCTCAGTTATTGAGACATTTCGCCTTCTACAAATGTTGTGCAAGGCACAGCATACATTGATAATGTGGCAACAAAAAACTGGATCGTAATTCAAGCATCGTTGCAAGCAACGGAAAGGGCTTTTAAGCACTCCAATTGTCCGTTCGATAATGTTCCTGGCTCCTGTATGTCTTATGTTAAAAATATGTTGATGCGTCCCAATCTCTGCGCTCCTGTAGGGAGTTAAGACGAAACTTTCTAGGGCGTATCCGGAATCCGCCAAAACAAAATGCCCGTTTATATTCCTGGAAAAATATTCCCTGACGTCGGAGTGGTTCCAAATAAAAGAATCATGGCAGGATCCAGGGTGAGTGGCATCAATTGCGATGATCTCCATATTATAGTTGCAAACCTAAGGAAATAAAAAGGTTTTTACATAACTTTTTTTTAACAGATTTGGTCGGTATACTTACCACCATGGCGTTCATGCTGTAATAACCCTTTCTATTAAAGAAAACAGACGAATTGTTTACAGGCTTCTGAATTTTTATGTGAGTTCCATCCACACAGGCGACTATTTTTGGCAGTTGATACCTTCTGAAGAAATATTCGGAAGATTTCTGCATTTGCTGCCTGGACATCTGGATGAAAATAGCATCCTTACATAGAAGCCTGTCCATCAACGGAGTAAATATGTGCAGAATCTTTCCGAATGTGCTTCGCCCAATGTTTATCAGGCAGGCTCCGGTTTTCACTTTCACAAGATTCTCTCGTTTTCGTTTTCAAAAACGAAAATTGGTGCTCCCGTTTTCACTTTCACAAGATTTTTTCGTTTTCAAAAACGGGCAAGTTTTTTTTGTCGAAATGAAAAGTAAATGCCTTTTTCTACATCAAAATGGTTCTTAATTGCAAAAGGAAAAAAATAGTTGACTCCTTGGTCTATTCATGTTCATTTCACATCATCAGTAGGTCAATCTAATTCGTATTTATTTTTTAAATAATTATTTTCTGACCCCACCTTGATTTCATACATAAAATATTTGCCGTCGGCAACAACAAATTTCGTTTTGCTAAAGGGTCGATAAATCTATTGCCAAAGTTATCGTTAATGCTGCCGTACTTGTAGTGGAACGAAACAACCACTTAAAAATACTTATAAATTGAAGACGAAGAAAAAATATTTGTAAAGAATAGTTAAATAAGCTTCTTATAAATAAATATGATTAATTGTCTTTCTTAAATGGTAAAAGTGCAGTAAAAAAGTTGTTAAGAATAGTGGAATGAAAACTGCAAAAAAGGTGGCAGCCCCTTATTATGGAAAACAGCTGATTTCTGATGGTGGCTTATTTGAAATTTTTGAAAATGTAAGTAAGACAACTTAATTTACCGATCGTCAGACATATTAAAAACACATGTGTTGCATCTTAGATGTCTCGATTTTCTTAAATAAATCAATTTCTGCCTTCTTTTGGCTTCAAAACAGGCAATTGAAAATATAAAAGTCATTTTTTCGCGTTGTTTACTTTTGACCAAAAAAAGTCAGCTGTTTGAACAAATCCGATAACGAAACGATGACAAAAAGTTTGTGAAAACCGGAGCACCAAAAACGAAAACGTACGTTTTCGCCCAAAAACGAAAACGAGAAAAAAAGTGAAAACCGGAGCCTGCCTGTATGTGATGGTCCTTGGCCACTGAAAACTGGTAGCAGCCAGTAGCAAGGTATCGCAACACAGCAGCCAATTGCATTGAGTGTGACAGTGTGGTTACTCTTAAATGTGGCTTGACTGTCTCCAAAATGCTTTTAAAAGTATTTTTGTCAATCCTAAATGATTTAACAAACCTGTAAAATTTTTAGTTACTAGAGTTATTTTAAATATCTGTGAATGACACTTACCGATCGTCAGACATATTGAAAACACATGTGTTGCATCTAAGATATCTCGATTTTCTTAAATCTCTCAATTTCTGCCCTCTTTTGGCTTCAAAACAGGCAATTGAAAATGTAAAAGGCATTTTTTCGCGTTGTTTATTTTGGACCACAAAATCAAATCAGCTGTTTGAACGGTGAGAAACAATGAAAAAATGAACCGTTCCGATAACGAAACGATGACAAAAATTTTGTGAAAACCGGAACACCTAAAACGAAAACGTACGTTTTCGCCCAAAAACGAAAACGAAAAAAAAAAGTGAAAACCGGAGGCTGCCTGATAGGCTAAGCAACTCGCCGAACATGGGTGGCAAATGACTCTGGAAGAACTATTATAAGCAGTGTTTAAAAAACTGCAGTCGAATTAGCAGAAGTCGCAAAATATAAGCTATTCGGTGCTTCGACTGTGTGCAACATTCTAAAATAAGCGATTGCTTCTGCTTTTGTAAAAATCAGAAGTCGCAGTCGAAGCATAGGCCAAAATCATGAAAGCAACGAAAAGCAAAAGTCATTAGCAGGCCTGCTTCTCGTTTTTTTTGCTACTGATTTGCTGTTGCTTTCAATCGTAGCCGAAAGTCGATGCTGTGGCAGGTGTCGGCTTTGGGAAGTCGCCAGCAGTCGAAGCCACAAAAAACGAGCCATTCGACTTATTGTTGCTTTTGATTTTTGATTTTGACGCTGCTGCTTTCAATTAGCAGTATAAGTAAAATAAGCAGCTGAGAAAAGAAGTACACACAAATGTACATGTTTTTATAAAAACTTTAATGATTAAACGTGTATGTACATATATTAAAAAAAAAACATTATAATTTTAAATTATTCATCTTCGTCTTCAAAAAAGGGCACGGTGTCGATGGCATGGTCCAAAAAACTGGGATTCAGTTTGACCAACAATATGTTTTCAAGAACATCCTGGCTTAAGCGGTTGCGGTAGTCAGTAAGCACCAGTCAATTCATAAAATAATCAAAATAATAAAAATGCTTCTATTAATTACGACATTCGCCCCTTGCGAAAGGTATTCCTCCAACAATGCGTCCTCTTCATCAAAGAAATAGTTTGAGTTTTGGGTGGAATTCGGAGTTGTGCCAGTAGGGTTGAAACTATAAAGTCTGTCACAAATGGATTTCAAATGAATGATTGCGTCATTTTTTTGTTGCAAGGACAATATATGCTGAAACTGGGGATCCAAAAACAAGCACGAAATTACAAATTTGTTTTTTAACAATATTTCGGTTTGTTTTTCTATCGAACTTATAATTTTATTTTCAATCGTTGTTTTTAATTGATGACTTGATTCTCTTACTATTTTTTCTGTAGAAATATTCTTTTAAGCCATTGGGCGTAGAAATTACTATAATGCAATTGTTCCTCTTGAAATTCTTTTATTGTTTTTTGCAAGGGGCTGAACACTTTGCAATAAGTCTCAATAAATTCCCAAAACGATGAATCTATTTCAAAATTTTCTTTCGGTGTTTTGTTTTTAATGGATTCAATTTTGCTTAAAATGTCTTCCGCTTCAATCAAGTTTTCTAACATTCTAAAGGTAGACCCCCATCTGGTTGGACAATCGAGTTGTGGCATTTTCAATTTTTTCAATTCAAAAATTTCACGAATCCGTTGGATGTTTTTTTATATATGTATTTTGTTAAATTTCTGCAATTTAATAATGACTTCAATATGTCCAATGACTTAGTCACATATGGTTTCTATATATTCAATGTTGTTTAGATAATCATCGTTGGTGCACTCTTCGTCGTCATTTTCAATATAATCCTCGGAAACAAATGATAAAATGTTGGTTGATTTAACCATATTTGCTCCGTTGTCAGATGTAATGGAGACGATCTGATTTAAATTAATACTAAAAATATTAAGCACTTTCACCACCTCAGCTGCAAGATTATTCGCTCCACTCGATCCTTATCCTTTTAACTCAATCATTCCCAAAATAGCAAATTTTATTTTAGCCGCACTAAATATTGAGCACTTATTCCGAAAATATTTCTTGACATTCGGTATGCACTGTCACTTTTAACGATAATAGTGTGTTTTTAAGTTTATTTGTTATGTCAGCCCTTATGTTATTTGCCACTATTTCTAATGTATTTTTGCAGTTTGCTGCATTTAATGTCATTTCTCCACTTTTTAGACCTCACAAATTGGATCGACGATATTTCGCATGTTTTGTGAATTTAAAACATTAAAAGGGATGCTATTATCCGTTATTAATCCAATATACGATCTTAAGAGCTGTTTTTTGTTAACTTCAATTTTTATTTTCTTTTTCCGTGTAATTTTATTAGACTAAGTTGTTGATACCGATTCAACATTTTCCAAATTGCACAAATCGATTTTGTGCTGTTTGGTAAGATGCGTTTTTAAATTAGACACTCTATTGTTTTTGATAGGGTTTTTGCATATATTGTATATGGCGAGACCGTCAGCCACTTTGTTCTCAAAATATTTCCACACTACACTTGGTGTCATAGCTCGTTAGGTCTTTCTCTTGATGCATACTTAATAAAAGTAATTTTAAAAAGAACAAGGAACAACCTGCGCTCGCCGAGAGGATTCCCCACGGAAACACATCGCGTACATCGCCAGAACCCAGAGCTGGCCCACCAGCTCGGGTTAACCGGGTAACAGCCTCAGACCGCCGAATCGACGGGCGGGATGCTTACCGGAATTGTGGAGCACCGGGGCACCTCGACCCCGACGACCACTCAGCCACGAAACTACGCCCGGGACATCGAGTACACCATCAACACTGAGTCCAACCGGGTTACTAGAGAGCACACGGGAACACAACTCGTGCGGACGCGGCCCCAGTCGCGAGCCGGAGGACGAACCGATGTCGCCCCCGCCCCGATCAGAGGAGGCTCCCCGTTTTACACGAACGCGGCCGGACACCGGATCTACGAGGCACCCCGTCAGCGAGACCCGAGTCCAACCGGGTCAGCAGAGAGCACACGGGAATACAACCCGTGCGGACGCGACCCCGACTACCACGACCACCCGGAACCCTACGTGGAAGACATCAGCAGCGACGAATCCGGACGCGGGGAACAGGCGCCCTATGGTGAGGACGAGGACGCTTATTCGAGGGCTAGCCGCGAGAGCGACGACGATCCCCAGGAAGGGACGGCACATTATGTGTATACGGGCGAGGACCGTTGCGGATACCACCAAGGGTTCTGGGTCTATCTTCTCAGGACGAGCTGGGAGATGATCCAAATGGAGGCACCATACCGGCCACCCGACGACGCGGTCGTATCTTTCCCGCCGTACCCCGTGCATCTGTGCATCATGGGGTCCGACGAGATAGAGGGAGCCGATGCCCTAGGCGGTCAGCCGAGATGCCCGGCCGACCCCGCCTGTTCCCAAGACGAAGAGATGGGATCGGAGCCGTCCCCACGTCTTCTCTGCGACCCACTACGAGCCCTCTCACGCGTCGCCGGCGATCGAGCCCCTCGGGACACTTGATGCGCCTGAGCCCCCGCACTACCCTACGGGTAAGGCAATGGAGTGGGAGTCCGAGACCAGCGATGACGAGGAGAGTACCGGGCAACGCTTCCGGCGAAGGGAGCCTACCCTCGCAGTGGTGCCCTACCAGCCACCACCAGTCCACGCGGCCTGCCACACGACCCCCCCACGAGGGGCAGACCCAGGAACAGCCCCGACTACGCCGACATCCAACATCTCGGACGCCTCGATGGGTATGTCGCCCGAGACTATACACCTCCTTTTGGGACAGATCACGCCGACAGATCACGCCACCTGTGGTGGGAGTCGCCAGACGAGTGGAACGAACTCAGCAACCCACGGCACGAGGCGACAGCTCCGATCGAAGACCGCTCGGCCCCCGAAAGCAGGGAGCGTTATTCGCTCCCGGCTGGGTGGACGTGCAACAGCACGGACGGACGGGTCCCGGATGAAGTCTGGCAGGCCATCTGCGACCGCCGCCCCGCAGCCTGTGTGTCTAGGCAACGATTTAGGATCTCGACCGAAGAAGGATCATACCAGGTCACCATGAAGTCGACCGGCACTGGAGCCGTTTCCTTTCTTCCCCCGAAGTAGGAAGGGGGTGTAACGCCCTAAATTGAGGGCGCACAAATTCTAATTTTTTTTCTTTTTAATTTCTTTTATAATTATTAGCTATAAATTCGGACACGGAGTCCTCCACCCAGTATTAATTGAAATATTAGAAAATAAGTATATATTGTTAGACTAGTATTAATATTAAGCCAAGACGCGCACCCCGACCCTAAAGCTAGGTACACACGATGCAAACAATTTGCAGCAAGTTGATTGCTGCAACAAAATTTTTCTCGTATAAACACGAGTGAAAACATTTTGCTGCAAACAAAGAACTTGCACAGTTTTTTTGCAGCAATATTTTTTGCTTGTCGTCTGTATACATTTTTTTACCGCCATCTTTATTGCATCAGTCGCTTGCTTGTTTGCATGTGCTGTTTGCTTTCAATCGCAATATTGCAGCAAGCAAAGCAACATGTGGGATCGCGAGAACACGATTAAATTGATTGAATTATATGAGAATCATTCCGTTTTATAGGATGTCTCTTCACAAGATTATAAAAACAAGCATAAGAGCAAAATGCTCTTTGCGAAATTGCTGAAGAGTTAGGCAAAAAGGATGACGAAATGAAAACAAAAATTCATAATTTGCGTACCCAATTTTTGCAAGAGGTGCGCAGGGCGAAACAAAAGAAGAGTGGCCAGGTTACATCGGACAACTATACCAGCAAATGGGAGTTTTTCAATGCGCTCAAATTTATAAAAAATGACGACGGAAAAAATTATAAAATTCAAAATTTTTTTTACGGATAATTAAAGTTGCTAATATAGCAATAGCAGCAACTCTCGATTTTAGTGACGACATAATATTAACACGTCGTTATTCTTTGACTTTCACAAAACAACAGAACTTGCAAATGAGCGTCACTTGCAAGCACTGCAAACAAAAAATAAAAACACGTGTAGACATTAATGCAATATATTGCACGAAATAGCCATGCAAAAGTTTGCGTGCAAAACAAAAATTGATTGAAGCAAGAAATTTTCTGCAATATTTGCATAGGTGTAAACATTTGTGCAAACTTTTGCTGCAAATTATTTTCAACTTGCTGCAAATTGTTTGCATCGTGTGTACCTAGCTTAACGCGTTATCGCACTCGTGAGGCCCCGCGATCAATACTACAACCGATAGTGCGAGCTCTGACGCGGGAATCGCGGCCAACTTCGCTTGACCGGGGATTAGCTTGCTCTCTTCCGTTTTGACCTTTGCCGAGTGTAGACGCCTGCCATTCCAGTCATAATGATTGCTTTTACAATATTGCGACTGAGGTGGGTTATTTGCAACCGTGTGCCATTACACAGTCTTTTTTTTTTATACCCTTGCAGAGGAAAGGGTATTATAATTTTGGCCAGAAGTTTGCAACGCAGTGAAGGAGACACCTCAGACCCCATAAAGTATATATATTCTTGATCAGCATCACGAGTAGAATCGGAATACGTCTGTACGTCTGTCCGTCTGTCCGTTTCTGCCTAAACTAGTCTCTCAGTTTTAAAGCTATCTCGCTGAAACTTTCCCAAAATGTGTGTAGTTACTGCACGCAGTATATAAGTCGGAACGGGCCGGATCGGCCGACTATATCGGATAGCTCCCATACGAGAGAATGAAATAAAAAATTCTTACTCCGTTGTTTTTGATCAGATCGACTTGAATTCTTCAAGATGGCGTTTTCTAACTGTTATTGAATTTCGGATTAAATTTGATCAAAATCGGATAACTCTATCATATAGCTGCCATAGGAGAGATCGAAAATTATATATAGAATTAATGGAAATAAATTGATAACATCGTTGTTTTTTATCCCACGAGCATGATTTTTTGAATATAAAGTTTTTTAACAACGTTTATATTGAGAAAAAAGTTTCATAAAAATCGGTCATCTATATCTTATAGCTGCCATAGGAAAGATCGAAAAATCTATATAGAAATAATGCAAATAAAATTATAACATCGTTGTTTTTCATCAGACAAGTATGATTTTTGAAATATAGAGTTTTCTTACGACTCTTGAATTACGAATTAAATTTGATCAAAATCGGACAACTATATCGTATAGCTCCCATATGATCTATAGTCAAAAATATGGAAAATGAATAGAAAAATCGTCTTAGCTTCGATGTTGTCTAGCCTTTATGAGTTTTGTTCGACATATTTGATGACTGCAAGGGTATATAAGCTTCGGCTTGCCGAAGCTAGCTTCCTTTCTTGTTTTTTGTCCTTTTTCGTTTTGCGGTGGTCGTCAACATAAGGGGGGATCCTATCCGAGGCTTTCGCTTTGGTCTTCACTGGGCTTCTTTTTTTACGAGGCGGGTTCCAAACCCTGCGCTCAACCGTTTAACGTCCGGGTGACATCGCTGCACACATTAGCTCACTATCTAGCGGATGCTAAGATAGCTACCCAGGAGGTGCCACGAGGAGGCTGCGTGTCAACTAGCAATCATTCGAAAACATAGATCGCACTGGCGGCCACCAAGTTGACCGCGATCAGAAAACTTTACTCTGTACGAATGAAAGCCATCCAATCCCATTGCATGTTTTGATAAAGCTAAAAATATAGGTAGGGTGACTATCCAAACATTGCTCGAGTAGGTGGTGCTATTATTTTTTTCGCAGCTGTATATAGAAAAAATAAGGTTTTCCCCATTGCCAAAAAATGGTTTTTTTTTTAAATAAAAAAAATAATAATAAATATAAATTATAAATAATAATAATAAGGGGGGATCCTATCCGAGGCTTTCGCTTTGGTCTTCACTGGGCTTCTTTCTTTTACGAGGCGGGTTCCAAACCCTGCGCTCAACCGTTTAACGTCCGGGTGACATCGCTGCACACATTAGCTTACTATCTAGCGGATGCTAAGATAGCTACCCAGGAGGTGCCACGAGGAGGCTGTGTGTCAACTTGCAATCATTCGAAAACAGAGATCGCACTGGCGGCCAACAAGTTGACCGCGATCAGAAAACTTTACTCTGTACGAATGAAAGCCATCCCATCCCATACACAGTCTTGGTGAATCTAAATTCCGCTTCAAAAGGACAGGAACGCCTACTTTCAGCCTCAGTTTGTGTGAAGGTACTCCCGACAGTTCTAA